AAAAGCGAGTTGATTGACAGGAAAGGCGTGAATAAAGACCGCGAACGAAGCCGTGGTCACGATGAACGTTAAAGAATCGTGAATTCGAAGCCGGCGTAAAACGGCGAAACAAATCGCGAAGCAACCTCTTCTTCTTCTTCTTCTTCTTCTTCTTCTTTACCTTCTTCCTTCGAGCGATGTATGCGATGCTCATTGTCGCAGTCATCCTTGTACGTCGATTGGTCGCGCTGTTATTAAGAGTTATAGCGAGACGAGCGCGATTAAACTTTCCTAAGTCTTGTATAAAAAGAAGAAACGAGTGCCTAAGGGGGGACACGATTCGAAATGAACTATCGATCTCTCGATTGAAAAATATTCAAGTCTATTTTAAGTACTCTCGTAAAAAAATTCATATTATTCCATCGATGGCAAAACTCTTAATAGAAAGGGAAAAATAAATTATTTGCGAAAGAAGATATATCGAATTAAATCCTCTTTCTCTCTTCTTAATTAAGTTCCAAACTGGAACTTAACTGGAAATAAATGAAAGGCGAAGCTTCTTACACTTCCAATCAGAGAATAGAAATTCGAATGAAATGATTAAGCTTTTATTTATTATTTTTCGAAATAGTACTTTCGTGAAAATAAAATTAGAAAGCAAGATATTCGCGTCCCACTCTTGTATCCTCGGCTATCGAGCGTATCGTAGCTACGTATCGGTGGCCCGTATCAGATGCCCCTATCAGCCAATTAGTAGAAATGAGATCGGAGGCGTAGATTAAGGAGCAACTTCCTGTGACATTTGGTACTGGCACATTTCAGCGAACTCCATCGTTACCCTTAGAACCCTCCTCTCTATAGTCTTTAACTCTACAATGTCTATTTAAGTTTCATACACGTTATATGATGTAAATTTAATATATATATATATATATATATATATATTGTATATACAATTTTTGATAGCACGACAGACCCTTGATAAAATAACAAAAGTTGGATAGGAGAGTTGTCGTAATAGAAGAAAAGAGAAGGGGGAATAAGAAGTATATCCGTTTCGATGGTTTTATGCTTATTTCCGTAAAAAAGTTATACAGGCAAAGCGTATTATCCTTCTTTCTTGAAATTCGAATGTGCGCAGCAATGTCGTTTCGTGACCAGCTCCGGCAGGAACTCGTAAGATTAAGTATCAACCTTTTCGTACCCGTAAATCAGCAGGGAATAAGATGGAGCACTGAAAAGCAAAGAGGATGGAATCCTTCTAGGGAGGACTTGCCATCGAATATTTTTCGTTGCATTATTTACGCTAACGGAAGATTCTTTAGTAAAGTTCCTTTTTTTCTTTTTTTCTTTTCTACGTAGAAACCGTTTCAAATAGAGGGACGTATTTTAACTCGAGCTCCTTTTCTATTTTCACTATTTGATGCTTTAACTTAGAGTTTAAAATACAAATTTTCGAATACTTCACATTTTTCTTACATTCTTTTAACAGTAACCATCTTCTTTTCGTACGTTCCTTTAAAATTCACGAATGAATACAAAATCTTACGCTCTCGAGAGAATCTTTCTTTGTCAACCGAATTGTCTTTATTAATATTTATTAAAATATTCCGTCTATGTTTTAAAGGCGCGTTCCCTCGAAAAATCCTTTTTAAAGATATTCCACATCTTTTTTCCGAGAGATCCGTTATTTGCTTTTAAAAATGTATTATTGGATTTCACGGATTCCCCGGGGTAATAAAAGACAGGGAGAAATAAGAAAGGGAGACAAAAAAGAAAAACTGCAAAGACTTTTGAGTCTCATTAAGAATGAATGACTTCAAATTCGAGTCGTTATGATGGTGTTTCGCGTTGCAACGAAAATGGACGACGGTGGTGTTAAACGGTCCGCGTCTGGACAGCAATGTTCGAAACGGTATGCAAGAAAGAGCTTGGATGAGAACTTGTGTGAGCGTGTCAAGAAATAAGAGAGCGAGCAAAAATATGTAAGAAGATGGAGGAGAGAGAATGGGACATAGAGTGAGATGGTTGGTTAGGTAGAAACGTAGGTAGGTGGTTAGGTAGGCAGACAAGTTAGTAGGCGGAGACCGTCTATCAGGTGACTTCCCAAACCTCCACAACTTTTACACCAACCTACGCGTCTCTACGTGCATGAAAGTAGAAGATTGTAAATACTCATGTATATGTATATGTGTATAATGTGTATGCATTCACATGCATGCAATATGCCTAAGCTCGCTTTCACCCTTATATATTATTTTTCAGTCTTTTCACAACGATCGAAAGAATAAATAAACCAAAAATGTCGAGAATCTCGAAAAAAAATTTCAAAGAATTTTCACTAATTAAATTTTCAAAAGGGTTCTCTTTCTTTTTTATTATCAGAATAATTGAATTCATTGAAAAACACGAGACAATTGTATTTTTATTCATTTACCTTTATAGATCTGTCGAAACTCTGAAGCAAAGTATAAAAGAAAGTATATAAATACAAAAAATTCTCGCGCGAACGAAGAAAAATGTATGAAAGATGAATCGAGAGAAAAGATAGGAAAAACAGAGCCGCGCGTACAGATATTCTCGCTTTGATTTGCCGATTCACGCATTCCTACTTCTACATAGTCGATCATTCTCTTGTGTAGACACCTTAAAGCGGATGTATCATCTTTTTGTCGCATGCACACAACCTCCTCTCCCTCTTTTTCTTTCTACCTCGTATTCCTTCCCACTATACAATCTCTTCTCGGTGCATCGTTCTAACATGATGTTGTTAGTAGAGAAAAATCTCTACTAGCCAACTCGGGAAACAATTTAATCGCACGTAGCTTCTTTATTAAAGCTGCAGTTTCGAATATTATGCATTTTTTTTTCTCTTTCCAGGAGAGATCGAATGTTCAATTTAAAAAAACGTTAGATACGGTAAAGTAAATGAGAATTACTTTCGACATTATTTGACACTCGATATCACTCGTAAATTAGTAAAAAGAAATTTTGTGGAAGGAAGAACTATGATATAAAAAGAAACGTACGTCGTTTCTTTCAAGCGATATGCCCATTGCATAGAACCTCCCTTGCGAGATAGCACTGTCCCAGTGGCCTACTACTGATTTACGTCTCTTTCTCGCGTTCGTTATGCAATGGCTTCGATGCGTTTGCCGATTCCACCCCATTCAACCCCGCTTCGGGCCGTTCCACACTCCGGTGCAACCCCGGGCGCACGATAAGCCCGTTCGCTCGTAAAATCCAACTTTCCCAGCCTCTGTCCAACTGTAACGCCGACCATAAATCTCAAACGTAACTCTCCATTAGCGCTCCGTAGGAATGTTCAACAAAAAAAAGTCGGGATAATGCTCCATCTTTTCCATTTTTATGCCGTTGTACAAATAGGAATGCAACGAGATGCGAGATCTATGAGAACTTTCAATACCTTTTATTAGTTTCTTCATTCTAATTTCTATGATTAATGAAATCTAAATATGATTAAAGGCTCGTTCTGTTATCTACATTTTAATTAAATCTCAAAAATGTTATCACACAATAGCAGTACGTACAGATAGAAAATATTTGACGTATCTTGTTTTACGTAATCGGTTAACGTTCGAGTTGATGCTTATGATCTAAGGAATACAAAGTCCATAGCACGTTTTAACGACTATATCACTTAAAACTTGAGTAAGAGAGTATGTATATAAATGTGCTATTACATAAGGGAATCTTACGGGCAACGGCCGAGTTTGTCGAGATCATCGAGAAGGATGGCAATGGATGTAGGTAGATCTAAACGGCAAGGGCCGTTACATTTTCCAACGAATACAGTCGTCGGAATGCATGCTATAAATTTGAAGCGCGTTGTATAAGGTGCTCGTAAATTCGGAACGCTGTCTTGACATAACGAAAAGAAAAAGAAAGAGTGAGAGATAAAGAAATATTGCACATGGTTAAGAACCTTTATGAACGAAACTGTTGAAAAATATAAAGGACACTCGACAAACAACTCGAATTGTGAAATATATAGTTTGCGATATCGTTTGCGATATCTACTTGTAAGTTGAGTTCATTTCCGTTCTGTTTTTTATCATCGCAGATTGGCACGAGTAAACGTTTAGAAACAAAAACGATAGACAGATAATAAACGTTTAATTATAAATATATACACCCACCCACCCTCCGTTTTACTAACCGTAAATTTTTTACATAATACTATTTTAAGTAATTAACATATAATATATAGATAACTATATACATAAAAGAGAAAGAAAGTAACTAGGTATAAGAAATGATTACTCGAATAAATAAGAGAAATATGACTTGGTTTTGATCTTGTTCGTTGATACTAAAGTACTTTCATGGCAATAATAATCTCGATAGACGAGATTCGGGAAGGTACAAACTCGAAAAGAGCGATGCTTGCTTGTAATTCGTGAAAAAGGAGCGGTAAAAAATTACACACAACGCAGAAACTTAGTAGTGTTTTTAAGATAACCGGTACATCGGCGCGATACCCTATAGGTATAAAATGTCGAGGCCATAAACGTACTTTTTACTGTTCCCTCGCGGAGAGTGTAACGCTCTGTGGTACCGTTACATCGGCCAACTGCCGAAGAAAGGACCAAAGAGAACCGACGAGCGACTCCAAGAGAGAAAGAGAGAGAGGGAGAGAGAGAGACGCTCGATCATACACGGCCGGCAAAGATGAGAAAACTATAATACAGAAAATCCAACGTACACAAGTAATATATTCGTATAATATAATAAACATTTCTTAAGACATTTTCCCAATATTCTATTCCATAGAAGTATATTAAACTCGGTATTGGAACCTTTAGAAAGGAAAGTATCGTTGAAATACTATAAATACTCTGAGCCTTTCTATATACGTATTTAATTACATAATTATTAATTACAAAATAAATCTCTTTCCATATTGATCAGTCGAAGAATATAAGAAGGAAAAGGATAGATCGATCCTTTCGTGGAATGATCGAAAAATCCTCGGCGTATTGCAGAAGAGAGAGACTCACCCTGTGAGGTGCTCGAAGAAGTCGATGAACGGCGGCAAGCTGGTTGATCAACGGCAAGGTCACGCTGAAGGTGTGCACGGGAGGTCTCGGTGGCTCCGGATAGGAGCTCGCGTAAGCGAACGGATCGACGTCGTTCAAGTACTGTACTCGACACGTCAGAGACATCCTCCTATCTGTCTCTTTTCTTCTTACCTTCTTCCTTCCTTCCTTCCTTCTTTCCTTCCTTCCTTCTTTCCTTCCTTCCTTCCAACCTTTCTTCCTTCCTCTTTTCTTTTCTTCTTGTACTTCTTGACTCCACTACTTACTCGTATCTCCGAAAAAGGTAACGCCCTTCTTTGCGCTAACCGATCGTCCTCGTCGCCCTCGCGACTCCCTCTCCCGCACCGGACCGCACGACCGCTTTACGCGAACGTACGAACCGGTTCGCAGTATCGCCGATTTGCGTTCATTCGAGAAGCTGGCTACAGCGAAACAAAGAAACCTCCTATGTATACATATATTATTCTCTCTCTCTCTTTCTCTCTCTCTCTCTCTCTCTCTCACTCGCTTTCTCTCCCCCTCTTTCTCTTTCTCTGTCTTTCTCCCTCTACGAAAATCTTGCGATCGAATAATTGGCAAAGTATATTTATTTGGAGAATCGTTAGACGCCTTACTTCTCGTCCGTTCGTTTGTATATCGGAATAAGAAGAGGTGAAAAAAAACTCGTCTACTTTTTTACTGAAAACTATATGGCCTACGCGTTTAATCTTGTCTCCTTTTCTAACGTCATCCTTTCATCCTATTCGCATTGTTCTTACTCGTGGCGTGCATAGGCCGGGCTATCCTCCTCCTTCGAACCGGCTTGAAGAAGAAGGGACGTGGCATGCTAGAGATTGGGATAGACGGAGGGAGAAACGGAGAAAGAGAAGCGAATCAAAGAGAAAAAAGAGAAGAGAGGAGAAGGGAGAGAATAAACGAGTCTGCGCCATACCACGAACGTAATCGTGCCTGTGGTCGACGAAAGAGATTCACGATCAAGATACGATTGACGAATCAGAGGGAAAAGAAAAATTTCCAAACTCGATCGAATCGAACGGAACTTAACCTAGTCCTTGATTCAAAAGTTCTCCCATAGCGGAACCTCTTTAAAATATAAGATAAAACTACCGAAATGTTTACGTATACTTTTGAAATATAACAATGATTTTAAACGAAATAAATATTATAGCGAATTAATAGGTAAGCCAGATTCGATTTGAAAGAAGTCATCTCATTTCTCTCCTCCCAAAAATTGAATCCGCGTTGAGAAAATAAGACTCCCGACTTCAGAAGAGTAGAAAGAAGGAGGAAGGTGGATAAGAAGGAGGATAAGAAGAAAAAAAAGGAGAAAGAGGAGGAGGAAGGCCGGCAAAACCAGTCGTGGCGTTCGACATTCCAGGAAATTATCGAGAGAGAGACTATTCGACCGAGTCTGTCTCTCTCTCTCCCTCTCTTACCAATTTTTAACTGCCATCTGTGATTTTCCCTAAAGATTTCTTCTTTCTTAGAACACAATGCATCTCTATTTATGTTGGAAACGAAAGGAAAGGAAGAGACCGGACGTTGAATCTCATGGACACCTTTGACCGTGCACGTTCGGAGTCTGCGCGACAAGACTCACATACCTACATATACCTTCGAAGTAAATACCGAGTATGTACATGAGCAAGCAAAGCAGATAAATGAAGAACGAGAAACAGAGAAAGAGAAAGAACGATAAGGGTGGGAGGGAAAAAAAGAGAGAGAGAGAGAAAGACAGACGAAGCACGCGCAACAACACGCGTGCTTGCCGCGCACAGAAAACTTTCCTTCCGTTCGGTATATTTTCCTTTTTTAATTCTCTCTCCCTCTCTCTCTCTCTCTCTCTCTCTCTCTCCCTCTCTCTCCCTCTCTCTCTCTTTCACTCACACTCTTTCTCTTTCAACGAATGATTTATTCGAATACGATTACATCACCGATACTAAAATATTGCTCACACTAAAAATGAACGTGCAAAACACAATCTTCCTCAATGTTTAATGATAGAAAAACCATGAGAGTGTGCGCGCGCACTTCTTGCCGTTAAACGACGGCGGCAAAGAGAATAAAATCGTGACTCACCTCGCGAACAGCCGCCGCGACACTGAGCGTCGCGCCAGACACCTGTCGCCACCGGGCGACGGTGGCGTCGCCATGCGGCACTTACCCTTCCCTTTCTTTTCACTACCCCCACCCCTGCTCTAACTACCAATGCCCGTCAACTCGCACGCTCGAAACAACCGGAGATAGACTCTCTTCGCTATACACACAGGTATACTCTTCTATTCTTTCGAAACGATTATTTCTAAGATAATAAGCTCATTTTTTGGAGATTTATTCTTATTATGATAGGTGTTGTGCAACGCTTATGTTATTAACTTTACTAGGAAGATCGAAACAACTGAAAAACGAATGAATCGAATTAGTACAAATTTTAGAATTTTAAAAGCTTAGGAATTTAGATTAAAATGAAACAAACATTGTAAATAGTATATATTCAATTAGTTATGAATTAATATTTTTTATAAAAGATAAGTAGGATTATTTAAGAATTTTAGCAAATTATATCAAATACATTCGAGTGCACTTAAAACTTCGAAAGCTCGATATCCCAAAATGCAGAATTTGAAAAAGTTGCATAAGGTTTTACCTCTACACCTAGTAAAAGAAAGAAATGATAAACGTAAATATTTCTCGAAGAGAAGATATCCACTTTTACGGCAGGAAATCGTTTTGGGAAAGAAGCTTGCCACGAATTTGTCGTCGTCGAAGTTTACCCAGCCAAGCGGAATGGCTTCTTTTTGCAGTTTTCTTTTCCAATTCTCTCTTTTCGTTGAGATAAGAGAACTCCCGTGGGATAGAAATATCCAACAGTGGACGAATCTGCGAGCTTTTACGCGAGAAAGGCAATGGCGCAGAACTATGACGACAACGAATAGGATGAGGAAGGTGGGGTAAAAGAAAAGGGTAGCAATAGTAATCGTGGGGTGAAAAAATAATCAGCTGGCACGACACTTAGAAGAAGACCATAAATGTGACCGTGCTCATTGTCCCTTCGGTACCTACTACAGCTTCCCCCGGTCTCCCATCAACGGACCCTTCTTCCCTTCTTTCTTTTGCCAGTAGACTCTACAGTGACAGGCTTACAACGAGAAAACGCACTAAAGGGGGTTGCTACGAGCTATTCGTTTCGAAAAGTACAGAACACACCAGACGGCACGGGGCATGCCAAACGTCACCTCAAATTAAATTCTATTATTCGAAAGGCCCCCCTTCAACCATTTCTCTCTCTCCCTTTTTCTTTTATTTTTGTGCGTTAAATCAAACTGAGGGATACTTTAATCGATTCTCATTGTAACCTATGCGATATTTATTGAAAAACGTGACTGGGAATCGCTTTTGAGTGTTCGTGATCTCTCCAAACTATTTTTTGTTTCTTGTTGTCATTGTTTTATGCAAGACAACGCAACGAAGTCAAGTTTATAGTAGTACGTCGCAGACAGCCTTAATCGAGACAGCTAACCAAGGTGACTCGAGGAATTCTTTTTACTCTCCTCATCAACCCTTTTTGTCTTCTTTGTCGCTAGTACTTTACGCGTATAACGAAAAGAAAGAGGAGTCTGAGACGAAAGAAGAAGAGTCTCTTTAGCGCATCCCTCACGAAAAACAATAATGTCGTGCAAGCACCATCCTCTTTTCTTTCTCTCTCTCTTGCTCTGTCTCTTGCTTTTGTTCGCGAGATTTTTTCGAGTGCGTACGTACAATATGTACATACCATTGTAAAGTCATCTACAGACTTCTCTAGTGCGACTCTCAACGGAAAGCACTTCAACGTTGAATACCAGACAAATGTAACTAGATACCAGTCAACGACAAAAAAATAATAAAGAAGTTATGTTTCTAATTGTAAGTATATTTCTTGAGACATATATCAAGAATTTTAAAAACACGAATCACTTATATATTAACGAATAATAATTGAATATTATATGACTCACTGGGATGTATCCGTCCGGTTGTGTTCTATCTTGAAAAGGCTCGTGCTCTCTACAGAAAAAGAAAAATAATAAAAATAAAGGAAATGAAAAATATTGCAAAATATAAACGATAATACAGATAGAATAAATATTTATTCCGAATCTTACCTGTGTCTTCGCTGTATCACTGGAGTTTTCGGCGTGCTATCGTGAATGATCACCTGCGTTGCATCTATTTCTTCACATTCGGAAGTATCCTCGGTAGATTCTGTAAAAGTATCATTGTCAAATCATGTGAAACGAAACGCGCCATAGATTTAAAAATAGATCTCTTTAAAAATGGAAAAAGAAAGTATCATAACACTTTCCAAACGAATTTTCATTCACCCCGATCAAATGAAAGCGAACATTTATGATCAGTAAAATGAACAGCTGGCAATCGACTAGCTATCCGCTTGAGCAGTTTTGTACGTGGGAAAATAAATGAGCTAACGAAGAAACGACTTTGTTGATTTTCTCCTTCGTTTTACATGTAAAGTTGGCCCCTTTCCCTTATCGATCGATTTCGGAATCGATCCGATTGCAAACTCCAAGGGTAATGTATCGGATCGAACCTATACGGTAGAGCGACCTAATCCGAATAAGCTCTTCCTTTCTTAAACTCCTTCTCAACTTACCCTCTTCGAGTTTGCCCTGTCTTCTAGAACGACGCAAAAGCGGACTATTTCGTTGATTCGTTGTAGTTGTTGCTGTATCTAGAAAGTCGTCGATATTCGTATATTCTCCAATAAAGAAATGTAAGTTAGACGAAGTCGGTTTCCTCGGAGATGATCTACGAGAAGGTGGTTGAATATTGTCGTAAGGCGAGATCCTTCCATGATAGTTATGCGGTGGAGCTGGTGGATTCTCTACCTGCAAATCGAATTCCTCCAAAGATCGCTAAAAAAGATCGGACCTAATATCACATGCGTCCGCAAAGTTATACAAGGTTTATTCAGAATTTATTAATATTAAGAAAAAGAAAGAAAATTTTCAATAAGAAGTCTTAACATCAAGGTACGCTTCAATCGATTTAACAACGAGTGAAATTTGATGTAATGCTTCTTGCCGTGAACAAAATCTTGCCTAGATAGCGTAGAATGCAATTCTGGAACTACAATGGTAAATTAGTTTCATTTGGTTTTTCTTTCGGCTACCGATTACTGCCTTGTTTCTTGTTTAATACTTCAAGACAAAATATCGTATCGTTTCCTTTATAGGAAAAATAAAGTAAAAGGCCGTAGTTAAACGCGATCATCTTACCCCTTCGGGACTGGCTCGATCTCCCAACGGTTCGTAGCTCGGTGGCAATGGAAACTCGATAGGGAATCTAGAGAGGCTTCTCCGGGTGTAGGTTTCAGGCTCGGGGTCAACGCCGATGTCTATCCTTTCGAAAGACTCCGAGGAGTCTGAAGTACCGTTGGAAGTTTCAACCGGGATCTTGATGACTCCTTCGGGAACATTCGAGCTGCTATCCATCCACCAAGCTCTTTCACCGGACTCGATATGTCTGATTTTCTTTGGACTCTTACGATCAACCTCAAGCCTTTCAAGATTGGCTTCGCGGGTAGATGGTGTAACGATCACTTCAACACCCTCCGGGACACTCTCTGGATCGTCGCTCATCCACCAAGCTCTTTCACCAGATCGTTGATGTCCGATACACCTTGGACGATCTTTCGATTTATTACTACCACGACTCGAAGTTTTTTTCGATCGACTGGATGAAAGGGTTGTTTCTTTCTTTCCATTTTCCGAAGTAGCATCGCTCTCCTCTAACCACCAAACTCTTTCTCCAGACTCCTGGCGCCATACTCTAGGCTTGAACTTTCCTACAATTACAAAAATGTATTTCTCGATATAAAATGTAAGTTATTTTAAATAGTGATATTAATCTGTGGACTCACCGTCGTCGGGTAGGACGGTACTGATGGTAGTTTCCTGGCTAATATCGTCATTATATCCACTAAACCTTTCAACACCCTCGGGCACATTATCGAGCGTAGGATCCAACCACCAAGGTCTCTCGCCGGACGATTGATGTTCGATTCTCGTCTTGAAATCGTGATCATTATCGAAAATCCTATCGGATTGTTGGGAACCCTGAGACTTCGGTGAGCCTTGCGTAATGGATCTTGAAAAGGAGGCAGACTTTTTCGTCATATCGGGATTCTCTTCGTTGGAATCGGGCCAACCACTTGATATTACGGAATCGCAAGTGGTATCGTGATGTTTGCTTTTAAAGAGATTTGTCACGGGTTCCAAAGCTCTCATTAAGAAGGATTTTGCTTCTTCCGTTTTTCCCGAACGGTCGCTTCTCGATCTAGGATTCGATCTTGAATTAGGCCTAGGACTCGATCTAGGACTCGATCTTGGACTGGATGGTGGTCTAGGTGGTTTTTCCACGCTCAGAGAATTTTCGTCTGCCGAAGATGCAAGCGCGCTCGTTCTCGATGACGCAATACTCGTTTTGTCAACTTTGTTCTCGCAAATCGGCCATTTCGAATCGTTTCCTCTTCTCCATTTCCTAGCAGCAACCTTTTGTTGTTGATCCTCCGTCTCTTCCTCGCTACTCGAGGAACTGGAGGAATTGGAGTCGCTGCTGTCACTCGATTCAGACCTCTCCGATCGCTGGAGATCCCTCTCGGCGGACAAGAAAGAAGCCGATTTCGCGTCGTTTCTCGATTTGTCGCGTTTAGGCGAGCCGCTCGAGTCGTTTCTTCGAAGCGAACACGACGAGGAAGATAAAGACGAGGACGGAGTCTTTGATCTGCCCGAAGGTATTTTCATCTTGGTCCCCATCGATTTCAAGGATATCGAAGACGAAGAAGGTGCCAATTGTCGAGCTCCGTCCAAATTTGATTCAGAATCTTGAGAACTGACAGACGTACTTCTTTGCTTTTTCATTCTCTCGTATTTGGAACACGAAGGATCAGGATTTTCCATGTTTAAACTCGACTTTCTGAAATCCTTATTTATGAATTTAGCAACGACGATGCTCTTGGAGATAGCACGATCGGCACTTTCATTCTTTGGCACAGGTGGTTTCCCTCGTGCGTCCGGAGAACTCCCTCGTCGCGAATTCACTGACGATGCGCCGGAACATCCGCCAGTAGCGGATAGTTTGGCGACGGATTGCGACTGCGATCGAGAGCTGGAAGCCGATGACGGCGTTGGTGTCTTTATTTTTGATCCCTGATTCGTCATCGAGCCGCCTGACGATGACTTAGATCTGCCAGTTGGCAAACTCGCGGCGGATCCTTCGGAAGAGTCTGCTCGTTTCATTTGTCGAGGCATGTTTTTCGTCGAACCACTACGAGACCGACTTTGAGAGGAGCTATTGATTAGAAAGTGTGGAATACGTTAGATTATATTCAAATAAACATTTTCAAATATATCCTCATTATTAATATATTATCACATTATTATACAATATATTCTATATTTATTCGTTAAGTTAAAAAATAAGAAGAAAGAAAAAGATGAAAGTTTTCTTCCAAGTCGATAAGTATAATACCTTGAAGGAGATTCCTTTCTAGACGGCGAAGTCTCATGCTTCTTTTCCTGAGGATGAGTATCAAACAGTTTGAAAGAATCAGTAGTTCTTAAGGATAGACTGTTTTCCGGCTTGGGAGTAGAATCTTTCCTTTCTCGTAGCACAGCTTGGACGGGCTTCGTCGAACATTCCGACTTCGAAGACGTTCTCGAGAGTTTTCCCTCGCTTTTAGGAAAAGCTCCGTTTAGTCGTTGCAAGGATGACCTTTTTTCTTCGATTTCCTTGCTTTTCAAAGTGCTACAAATTTGATCATTTTTCAAATAATCTGGAGAATGTTTGACACGAGAGTCATCGGGAACGTCGATCGAATGAAATGTCGTTGTCGTCGTCGTTCTTGGATTTGACAGTAGATCTACCTTCGTCTCGTCCTTCCTTTCGCTAATCCGATCTCTATCGATACACTTGTTTTCATCCTTTTGATCTCTAACGATAACGTCGACATCATCTTTGAAGACAGCTTCGACTTTAGCGGCTTGCAAAGAAGTTTCCTTGTTGTTTCTCGAGAAAGGGAGAAGCTCGTGCTTCGTAACGACTTCTCTATCCTGCTCTTTACTATGGTGATTATTATCAAGTTCTTGACTACACGTCGGAGATACTTTGGGTGGTTGATCGTTTTGGGAACTCGTGGAATTCTCGTTAGCTCTTGAGAATGCAAAGCCACCGATCCTTGCGCAGTTTCCCAAAGCTCCGCTGCTACCAGTTGCAGCGTTGAAATTTCTCGAAGAGTATACCGTAGGGTTTCCAGGCGAAGCCGAACTCGTTGATGAAAATTTATCGATGTAAGATGACCAACCGGTGCCTGGAACTCTGGCAGCACTTGCACCAAACCTCGAAAACTTGGGTGTTTCTTCGCAACGATCGCATTGAACTTCTTCATTCTTTTTCTCAACTTTTCTTCGACATCTAGTTTTTTCTTTCTGCACAATTGTTCCCATATCCGCTCTCCTGTTTCGTACGAAACTCGAGGAAGCAGGCGGGGTCGGCGACGTACCCCTACTTACCATTACGATGCAATTATTTTCCAGCTCTTCGATTCTATTCTCGGTCTCGCAATCATTCCAATTTCTACTACCTTCATCCTGCAAATCTTCTTCGGATTTGACAGGGCCTTTCGTACAACATTCGGCCTTAGTCTTCGCCGAAGTAGAAAATTCTTTGCTATTGCTACTGGAAGTTCGGTACCTGTCCGATCCAGAGTAGCTAATAGCCGACGGTAACCGTTCGTTACTTCTAGACGGCAACGAAAATCGAGAGCTCGTTGTTAAACTGAATTTTGAAGAGATCGGTGTCGAACTATATTCCGTCGACGTACCTAAGAATATAACGATAATAAATCATTTAAATAATAAAACTCGAAGTATAGATTTTGTTCTCGTAGAAAATGTATCGAAAATATCGGTGATCCACTTACTTCCGGCAGATCCGGCACGAGAATAAGACGATGGTGGTCTGGAATATACTCGAAAAGAATTTCCCTTTTCAACGCCAATATCTGGACTCGTTTCGCGTGACGTTCTTCCTGAATTCGTCCGTAAAGTCCTGTAGGAAACGGGTGGATGCTCGCTTCTCTCCTTCCTTTCACTTCTTCCCTCTATACTGCTATTGCTATAGTTCCTACCTAATCCCGAACCAGGATACGTACTGGAATTGTACCGCAATATTCCTTCCGGTTCTTTGCTCTTTTCACGGGTAGATCCACGGTTGTATCTATTCAAGAAAGAAGATGGCTTTTCGACGTTCTTACTGCCCGAATAGGAGTACTTTTCTAGAAGCAATGATCTACTATCGGACAACGGACTCTTTGCACTAACATCTTCTATTTTTCTCGGATTCAATCTATTCTTTTCTATCTCTTTGCTACCTGCGAACACGCAATGAACACATCCTCAATTACATTGTTCGTACATGATCGATAATTAAATTATGCTTTCAATAAAATATATACCAAATCCTAACGGTGTAAGACAAAATATATTATAATATAAAAATAATAATCTATTATTAGACGTAACACTCACACGAATATTTCAATGTGCCTTTTTTCTCGACCTTGTCTTTCTTCAAGAAAGAATTTCCATATCCAGAAACCGTTACATCTTTTCTACTATCTCGAATAGGATTGGGAGGTATACCAGTATAGGTCATCCTGCAAGTCGCTAAAGAGCTTCCACTCGAAGTATTTCTAGTAGAAGTGCCCGTACCAAGTCCACTTCTACTGCTCCTATAAGAGCTAGTATCACTCTGAAAAATGAAATTGAACGTGTTACCGCGAATTTGTAATAAAGCAAATCGAACCGAACGTTCCACTCCCTTTCACACATGTAACTCGCTAAACGATTTCTATTTAAAAACCAATCAACGAGATCACGATGATACATTACGCGAAGGCGTTCCAGGATATTCATAATGATCGACGAAAATTACAACTCTTCTTTTTAAACATATACTATTTATATAATAATAGTAAATAATCGGTATATAAAAGATACGTTCGATAACACACATGTGCCGAGTGATTTTTATAATAAATGTATTAAGTCACACTGTGCTATTATATCATTTACAAGTAATTATGCTTTAAAAGTGAATGAAAATGAAATGTAAATGAATATTATTATTCGTATGAAAGATAAGTAGAAATATACGATATAGAGCTTTCTCGGCATAACCCACGGGAATAACAATAATTCTTATAATTAACATAAGTTTGGCGAGCTGCCTCGTGCTCGAAATAGACGGCCCGACCCAGCAGGGAGTAATAACCTCTCTCTTACAAACTAATACAATGACATGCTATGAGAGCTTTGATAAAAACTTCGGACACTCGTAAAATGTTAAAGAAACGTCAAAAAAGGATATTCGATTCGAAGAATAAATATTGTCGCGTTCACATACTTGTTTCATACTTGTTAGATTAGGATAAGGAAAATTGCAGTAAAATAATTTTGATTATTGACGTGTACAAAGTTATTTATACTTGAAACGAAGCAAAACTACGAATTTTTGTAGGAAACTACGGATGATATCGTAGCCGTTGAAATATGAAATTGACGAAGGATAGTAAAGAACTATGGTCCGATTGTTTTTTTGTCTAGTGCAAAGACTTCCTCCGCCTTCTAGCAACCGCTCGGGCATGTAGCGAAATCTATTCTCGGTGATTCGGCGATCTTTATTTCTATTCGCGCTCTGCTCCTCTTCGATTAACCATAGCGCGAGAGTACGACGTCACAGAATTAGATACGTTTTCGCTCGTTAAACGCAAGCGAAAGCTAGTCCCCGACTGGTTGCATTCGATTCAGAGTACATTCAACGAACTTGCAAGATTGAAAACAGTCTCGTCGGCAAACGTTTCTCGATTTACAATGAAAATAGCTTCTCGCGAGCTTGTCGACTGACACGTATGTAGGTATCTTAACGAATTCGTTTTGTCCGTAAGACTCGATCAAGCCGAGTAATATAGACACGTCGCATATGTAACTTTGTTTAATTGTAAAGTAAACTACCGCAAACCGCGTAATTCGAAACTCAACAAATTGAAAACTCATTGTATATGTGTCTTGCATATCTGCTTATCTTCTTTACGTATACGCGTAGACGTAGATATCCGTTGAAATGTTGCTGATCGGAAAGACGTGGGTGAGCGCGTCGTTCCGTGACATCGACTCGCAAGAGAAGGCCGGCTAATTGAAGCGTGTCAACCTGATTTAACCTTCGTCGACTCGTCGCGTCATTATAATTTACGATTCAACGCCAGCTGACAGGCTCGCGCGAGAAAGATAACTCGTGCAACAATATATCTATCTATGTGTGCATATGAATACGTATACGTAGATGCGCGTAAAATATGTATGACCGAAATATAACATGTGGATGTTACGTCGTTGTAAACGTCTCAACTGTTATTCGCTCTGCTACTACGAAGCTCGTTGAATCGGTCCAGCACAGCATCTGCAGCTGCTGGTGGTGGCCTTTTCCTCACGGTCGATGCTCCGCAAACAGACCGAAAATCTCGTTCTCCTATTCGTTGAATATGAAAATAAAAAAGCAATATCTTTGACGTTTCTCCATGAGTGCACGCGCGCGCGTTCCATATCTCTTTCTCTCTTTCTATCTCTATCTCGTAGTTGCAACGTGCTTCGGTCACCGACCTCCACCGACCCGCTAACGTTTCATCAAAGGTAACGAACCGTAACTTTTACTCTTCCACAACGTTCTGCTCCAGCTACGGCTATGCAACAGCGAAAGGAGCGAGACAAACGTTTAGGAAAAATCTCTCGCACTCATCGTCGGACCTACCTTCCGGCTAAACACCTCGATTTTCCATCCTATAAACGTCTATCAAGGAGAACAAACTTTTTTTACGAGCGAGCAAATTGAGATCCGTCCTCTGATCGCGGTTCCGATCGCGGTTCCGATCGCGGTTCCGATAGCGGTTCCGATCGCGGCTTCGATCGCTCAACATCGGGAATCGAAAAATAGTCAAACGAATAAAAAGAAGACTTGTAATAGAAAAATGTCAGGAAGTATACGTTTCGGTGAGAAAATAGCGATGGCTTCGCCGCGTAATTGGAAAACTTCTTCTTCTTCTTCTTCTTCTTCCGTTTACGTATAAGTTGGTGGAAGCTTGAGACGAAAAGTTTCACGGTATACCGATATCGGAAACAGATAAACTTTTCAATAGCGTCTCGAGCCAATAAATCGCACGTCGTTATTTTCTCTGGCTGATAGAAACAAGTCTCTACGCCATCGTGACATAGACTTGAACGGAGGATATCGTCGATCATACAAACGATCGTCACTTCTTTTTCATGTTTTTATTTATCGATTAACTCGTTAATCACTGCCATCGAAAAATATATTTTGGATCTGTTTCGAACTAAATTTCGTCTTCATTCGCGACATCGATTTTGATGATATTTCTCAGTCGTGGAACGACTATCCGTCTTCTCTCTTTTACGTCAGTAACATATCCATTATTTTTATACTCGCGAAATCGTAACATCGTTGCCAACTCTCGTATTGTATTTTCCCATAAAATTATTCTCTCCGTCTATTACTGAATTCTACGTATGAAAATACATAAACATATATGAATGTACGTTCTCTGAAAACAATGTGAAAATAGAGATAAAAAGAGGGAAAGAAAAAGAGAGAGAGAGAGAGAGATGCAACTTTGAGTCATCGTTAATTCTCTTTATCAATAACATTATCCTACCTTGAAAAACTAATTTTTAAAAAGCTTCTATGAAGTAAACAGAAAATCCTAGTCTTTTGCATTGTCGGTTACAAGCCGACGCTCCTTCCGACGACTCATCCACGTATAAAATCCACAAGCTTTTCTTCTTCCACTTCTTTTGAAAAGAAACAAGAAAAATACGTTAGCGTCTACGAGTACGTTTAAATATAACTACATCTCTCTCGTGATTCTCTTCTTCGTGCGTTCTCTCTTGCATACATTCGTATCTGTGTTCATCATTATATTATATGTACTTAGGTATACAAATATGATATGTACCATATACTACATGTACTCCAACGGAATAAAGTTAATTAATTAAAAACAGTCAAAAGAAAAGAAAAAATACAAATACGTTTCGCGTATTCAGCCCACAAATAGTAATAATAATAATATTATTATTTTTATGTATATTTAATATGATGTTTCTTAAGATCTTTTTTATTTTATTCGTCATATAATAAAGTCAATGAACTACAAAAGTTTCAAATAAAAAGTGGGAATATTTGTGCCCTCCGTCGAAGAATGATTACCTTTCCCAAGGAAAGTCACGTTGCTGGACACGAATATATTGTATATCTCGAGTATGCATGCATTAAGCTTGAGAAAGATAGAGAAAGAAAATGAAACCAAGACGGGAAAGAGAAAAGAGAACGATGAAAATGCAAAGGATGCTTAATTAAAGTAATCCACGCAACATTCTACCGTTTCGAAGATTTGTCGCGTGAAATATTCAAAAGAGCCGTTAAATCTCCACATTCTCTCGACTCCTCCTTTCACTTATCGTTCGTATAACCTCGGTACTTCTACTCCAGCGTTCAATCCTATTCAATCTACTTTAATTTTTATATCAACGCATAACTAAGCTTCTGTGGAACATTATTATCAAATAGATTTTTTCTCTTCCATACTTTATAGTCGTTTTATTTATATCTTTCATCTTAATGACTCAACCGTAACTAACCATGACGAGCTTACTCTTTCGTGTAATATTTACGCTTTCAATTAGAAATAATAATTATTAGAGAAGAAAAAAGAACTATTGTCTTTAATTGAAAAAAAAAAAAAAATAAATAAATAAATAAATAATATGATCTGGCAATTGCACACCTAAACCGAGTTTATACGATCGTGGTATTACGTGTACACCCATCTGTCTCTGGCAATCCGTATCTCCTCCGAATGGAGCTTTGACATTCGACACCCTCTACTCGAGCCATTGGTTTCAGAGCCGATCGCAAGACCGCCTATATTTCAAGTATAGCACTGTGCACCGGAAGAAAGTCTTACACAAGCATACCTCTCTCTCTCATGTATATATGTGTTATCTACACGAAGAAAGACAAACACGTGTACACGTGCGCATGGCAGGCAGGCGTCGTATGGGAAAGACCCGGCTAATTTTGCTAGCTACGCCATCGCCGACGCGTCGACTTCTAGTTCACAAATCTCTCTCTCTCTCTCTCTCTCTCCCCCCTCTCCCTCTCCCCCTCTCTCCTCGTATCCAAGGCACACCCAACATTTCCACGCCAAACTTCTGCGACGTTTCATATCCTTCGATAAATATTTGCATCTCGTTACCCCTTAGCGACCATCAGTCACTCGGTTATCCATTCAGTCAGCCAGTCAACCAATCAACCATACTTTAATCTTTTCATCTCTATGTCTATCCATGAGTACACAATCTCGTGGAAAGCTCCTAGCTTTCTTTCCGAATCAACCAAATAACTCGCTACGATATTATCAGAATATTTATACGAATAATTTTATACTTGTATGCATGTATTGACAAACTAACGCGTATCTCGACTCCTCTCCTATATCTGAAAGAACTTACATATGTCCTATAAGACGCCATGATCCTCTTTCAAAGCGAGAAAAAATGCAAATTCTCTTCGAAGTAGATTCGTTATTCGTGGTGTAGTATACAAGAATCACAAGTGGTTTCACAAGCATAGAATACACCACTATTGCCACTAGCACCAGCACCACCGCCACAACCACCATCAAAATAACTATCACAATCAGTAAGACACTATCACCGGCGCGAACTTTCGTAAGCTTTCGTACGAGTGATTTGTGAAAAAGAAAATGAGAAGGAGAAGGAGAAGGAGAAGGAGAAGGAAAGAAGGAAAGAAAGAAAGGGTTAGAAATAGTCGGAGCCTCGACACGACGTAAAACGAATCGACCGATCGAAGTTTGAACGATTCGTAAATGAGGCTCCGATGAGAATGAAGAAGAAGAAGAGCGCCTTCGTAGCGGCGCTTCGTTTCGGACAAAGTTCGGACCCCGAAGGACCGCCGACCCGCGAGGCACGTCGTATTCCCTCCTCTTCGCCCCTTTCCGACTCGAGCCCTATTTTAAGAATAGCTTCTTTTATCCTCTCCCTTCACGTTTCCTCGAGTAAAACTTCCAACTCCTCGTGAACTTTTCTATAGCAAAAATTTAAGACCTTTCTTTCTTTATTTATTATATCTTTCATTATTTATCCCTTATTGTTCCCTCTTTCTTTTTGTCTCGTTGCAACATTCTTCACGATTTTGCGCGAAACAGGGTCAATTACCCTCCTTCCTTCTTCCAAAGACCATCCGCATAATTTCGTTTTAAGTGTAAGAAAAAATATAGTAGCAGAGAATTACTACCTCTGTCGAACAGTACCCGATGATTT